TATTTACTTAAGTAAGCAAAATGTGCTCCAGGGAAAGTGGCATTCAAAATCCACAGTGCAAATAGACCTTATTCACAATACCAGCCATCTTTGCGCACGCTCACGGATTGATGTCACGTGGTTTCTCAGGGGCAAACGAGTGAAATCATTTGCCAGTTCAAGAAATCGCGGTCGAGTTGTTTATTCTAGACGGCAAAAAGTGAACAAACGTTTACCTTAAAAACGATAATGGCAAGTTATGGGTAGAAGAGATCATTGCTCCTTTTTTGGAAGCAATCATCTAGATGTCCTCACAGCATGCAATAATAATGTAAAACCTATCGTCCTCACGTTTCCAGAGAATAAACAAACTCGACCGCGATTGCTCTATTGGCAAATTTTATCACCTGTTTGCCCCCTGATATACCACGTGACATTGCTTCTATCCCGTCCATCCTAAAGGTCGTCACTTGTTTCCATCCGCCAAACCGACATTTTCCTCTCAGTGGCTCTCACAAGACATTTCACTTTTCTTACATGAAATTTCTCTGACTCTTGAAAATTCTGTTCATAAAACTCTTGGTCTCTTCAATTTTTAAGGAAAAAAAATTCAGGATGACAAGAGTAAGATTCGATCTCTGAGCATCGGCTCTGCAGTGCATAACCCCTACAGTACCGAGGATTTGCTGACAATAGGGCCATTTATACGAGGAAAAATAAGAGGCGTCTTACATAAGACGCGAACTTTCCGTATAAACAGCACATTTCGTCTAAAATAAGACGCGACTTAGCTAATACGCGTCTTATTTTAGACGAAATGTGCTGTTTATACGGAAAGTTCGCGTCTTATTTAAGGCGCGTCTTATGTAAGACGCGTCTTATTTTTCCTCGTATAAATGGCCCTAATATATGGTTTGATTTGAGTGTATATAGCAACAACCCTAACCCTAACCCTTACTTTGTGTACGAACCATTAATCTGTCAACGTCCTAAAGCGAGTGCAAAGATGGCAGGTATGGTGAATAGGGTATTTTTATTGACAAAAAAGTTTCTACTCATTACACCACACTGTATAACGTTACATGAAAGAATAGATAGAACTTGCGTGTACATTTAGCCGCAGGAAAACTATAAATATTATGCCCTTCCTTCGGTGAAATGCCAGGCCGGGCATAAAACTCGTGACAGTGCAACAACTGTTACGTTGAGCACAACAACTGTCACGTTAATCTGTCAATTATCTAAGCATTTTCAAAGTATCTATTTACAAAAGACCAAGTATAAAACCACCGCCAAACAGTTCTCACGTTCTAGGTAAAATAATCTTACTTATAAATATATACATGTTACAAGTATCAATATATTAAATATAGTATAAAAAATACCTTCGAGTTATAAGTATAATATTTGGACTTTGGCACACAGTAATCACGAATGACTTTCTTGGACGACCTTCTAACAAGCATTGGATTAAATACATGAATATAAATTAAGCGCTCGCGAAAAGTGAATACACGCATGAGTAAAAGAAGAAGAAAACTGGGAAGTATGAGCTTGGAAAAGATTGAATAAAAGTAAAAGCAATTTAAAAATACTTCAAAAGTTCCTGCAAAAATATCAAAAAGTACGAGTCTTCAAATGCATTGAAACAGCAATAAAAAAAATTGATAATAAATACTGCTTCAAAATAATGTTTATAAATATAAGCAGAAAGAAGAAAGTTGAAAAGCGTTATTTTTTTTCAAATGCAGTGTCCAGCGAGATCGTAGGTTCAGTTTATCTTCTCAACGAAGAGACGCATGCGTTATATCCGGGGCTTCAGAAAAGGGCATCGTCACGTGACTTGCGCGGCCCGCACCAGTGCGAATTGGGAGTTGTTGATCGTAAGGAATACATTCGGGATCTCTGTCAGCTGATACCCTTGAACCAAAAGAATACAGCGAAGAGGAAGTTAGACAGTTAACTCCAAAATGGCAGGTGAAAAACGGCCCAACTCAAAGAAGTAATACAAAGGCAGACCAGACAATTATTAAGAGGAAGCACAATGTGGAATGATCTTTCTTCGAGGCTCACAGTCTAGTATCTCAAGAGGAATTCCCCTCAAGACCCGAACAGAAACGACAGAATCACTTCACACGAAACGGAATTGAGGACTGATGTTAAGATTGCAGGAGTTAAAACGGCGTTTTACGACATATTTCCTTCCTGCTCAACCACATTCATTTCCCTGAGACTAAAACCAATAAAAACAGAGTAACTGGAATAAAAAAAGCTTTTAAAGGCGTCATAAAAATCTCTTAAAAAAATAAAAATCTTTAAAAACAGGTTTCAACCGCATGTCAAAAGACAATAGAATCGAGTGATGGAGACAGAGTTGTCCGCCTGATTAAGCGCTTAAAAGCACTCTTCTTAGAGTTGGGCCATTCAATTTACGGCGTTCACATAGCGCCTACAAGCACTCGCCGTATAACTTGGATAAGAAAATTATTTATTTGGAGATAAAACTAAGAAGTAAAACGTCAATAAGATAAAACAGACGTTTATATATACCAAATATCCAACTACTGAAAGACGCACTGAAACAAGGGATGGTAAAATAGCGCTTAAAAGCACTGTTTTTCAACTTTGCGATGACTGAGACAGGATTTAAATCTTCACTCACTATATGTATCAAGCGAGGTTTGGGGGAAGAGGTACGGGGAGGGGTGCACATGTTTGTCAGCCACTGAGAAGTTCTTGACAACCCTTAGGTAAAATCGTAGCGCTTAAAAGCACTGTTTTTCAACGTTGCTATGAGTGAAGCAGGATTTAAATCTTCAATCACTACCTATCAAGGGAGGTTTGGGGGGAAGAGGTACAGGGAGGGGTGCACATGTTTGTCAGCTACTGAGAAGGTCATGGCAACCCTAAGGTAAAATTGTAGCGCTTAAAAGCACTCCTCTCCTAACATCAACCATTATCATCAGATTAACCTTTTATGTCCCAAGAGTGATCAACATGAATTTTCTCCACGTAATATCAGTACATTATCAAAAGAAAAGGTTATTAGATTTAATAAAATGATCACCTCAGGGAAAATGCTTTGATCTTATATCAAATTCTCCCAACTAATTCTTTACGGAAGTGTATGGAGATCAGTTTGGAGAATTTTTAAGTGGATATTGGGGCTTAAAGGGTTAAAACAATATTTACGTCTTGACGATTTGACTGATTGTCAAGTGAAATTGGTGAGGAAGTAGAGGGGAGGTGAAGTATTCTTCAGATACTAAGAGGATGCCAAGCATGGGTTGTATAGTAGCGCTTAACAGCACTCCCTTGCTAGCCTCAATCAAAATATTTAAAAACATCTAAAAAGCGACGAACTTTTCGGAGAAATTGAGGTGAAAAGGAAGGCGTTTTAAAAGCGCAAGGGTGTTTTACTAGCGCTTAAAAGCACTCCCCTGCTACTACTAAGCAAGATTAAAAGCGAGACGGTTATTTACATGCACTAGAAGTTACCGAGCACGGAGAAAACAGTAGCGCTCAATAGCACTACTCTGTCACCCAGGCAAGGTGGCCAGTCCCAATATGCATGCCTCCACTTCAAATAATAACTTGATGGTAAACGCGGAGAACTGACAAACCCCCACTCCCTTTTTAAAAGGCGACAACGAAAGGCGCCTAACAGCACTCCCTTTTTCCTCTATGGCACAGTTCACAAATTATAAGACGCACACGGCACATCTCGATGGTTGCAAGGCAGCATTTATTCTTCTTTCACTGTCAGAAATCCATATTAACTGATAGATTGATGCGCGTTTGGCTTTAAGACTACTGTTTACAACATTACGAGTTAACAAGCTACAGCCTTAAGTTCCAAGAACCCAGTATCACTTTAACGTATTTTAGAAGCCAAACCGAGCAGCCGCTAATTGCCGTTAAATACAATTTAACTAGTTAACAACAAAGAGCAGCCGATATGCTCATGGCGGTCAGCGACAGCAGATTTCAGCGCATGCTCCGAGCACTTGGCATGGTCGTACCCTCAAAGGACGTTTCAGCGCGTTGAAGCGTGGCGGCTTTTTTCTGTGGGGTGCGTTATTCAGTGTTCTCACCAGGCCGCGGCCTTGCGGGATTCCCGCAAGAAAAACTGAAATGGCGCATTAAAACCAAGAAGATGCGCCCGTTAGGGCGCAGGGGCAAGCTACGAGTCAAACAGACTTAAGTAGTTTTAATGGTCAACCAAACACTAAAGCATTCTGTTTGTTTGAATAAATAAAAAACATGATATCAAATGAGTCAAAGTCTTTAATTTTGTTGCCTTTACTTTCATTGGTCCCACGCACGTCCCACTATGATCGTAAACTCCTCCTCCGAATCGTAAACACCTCTTCCGCCATATTGGATCAGGTAGGTACTTCATGTAACAGACAATTTGGAGTGCGGGCTCAGGTTCTTCGTACCGCGTGTTTTTTGTAACTTTGTCCCCCTAATGTTCTTACAGGGCCCCTATTTCTCAGAAGAGGGGCCCTGGGACTCCCCAAGGCAAAATCCTGGTGAGAACACTGGTTATTACTTCTTTTTGCCCCTTCTTCAACATTCCCTTAATTTCCACTGTAAACACAGTGTGACGGGTGCCCCCAACCCGGTGCTGGGTGGGGCCTATGGCTTGGTTGCCGGCGGGGATTACCAGCCATGGGAGCGGTTCTCTTTCTAGGGGCTGGTTGGTCACAGAAGCGACTCCCAGACATCCCAGGCATCCGGACGGGTCCCGGACAACTCGGTACGGGGATGGGGGCTCATTGCTTGGTTGCGGGAATTGCCAGCCATGGGAGCGGTTCTCCGTCTACAATCTTGGACAAAACTGTTGAGAAAATTGCCTTCTTGGGGGTCATTTTTTCTAAACTTCGTAGCCGACCCATTCTTCCCTCCCCCTCTCCCCCTGGAAGCAGTGTTGTTGGGTCTTCAAAAGAAAGCCGGATCCCTAAGCATTTGTAGGAAGCAACTTTGAACTGGGGGAGGGGGTTTTCTTTACGCAAAGCCGTTGATTTAGAAGTAGTTTTGTTGCGTTAGGTAGTGCACATTAATGAAAACATTTTCTCAAGTAGTTTTGTCCAGGATTGTATTTGACTGGAAAAGTCGATTTTGAGCATTTAATGCGGGCACATAAATCTGTTCTTTATTTTTTTCGTACATTTCACAGAAAAGTAGATAATTAATGGAAAATAACTGACAACAGAGGAGGCGATGACAAGAAAATCAACTTGGATGTCTTTCTTGATTCAAGTAACCAATCGTGAACGTCTGTGAATTTCATTTTCCACGCAGGGTTTTTACGCGCGCTTTGAGTGCAGCGGAGCAGGCATACATTACGGTTTTGGCGGACGAGAAGGACGTCTCCGTCAAGGAGATTAGCCAGAAAACGGGAATTTCACCTGCTACGATTCGACCAACAAATAACACATGAAACTTTTTGCTGACATTTCAGAGCGCGTGACCCATACTTTGAACAATTTTCCCATCGGCGAAATAGATAAAACAATCAAAGTCAGTGAACAAGCGCTTGCCATTAAATAACAGCATCAAATGGAGAGAGGATGAAATATTAACAAAACTTGTATTTTTACTTTCCAAATTTGAAAGCTTACTTTTGACACTGTAGCGATGTGCAGTGCAAAAAAATCACACTATGAAATCTAGAAATGTCACGCGCGGTAACGTGACAAGATGTACTATCGTGTGACCTGTAAGAGTGCATGTTTTGCCCTCGGGCTATTTATAGCTTACATATGACTGGAAGAAATTATGAGATAAATTCATCATTTGTAAAGCAAGAGATAGTAAAAATTGCCATAGTTGTCTTCTAATCTCTTTCTCTCCACAATATCTAAGATTCGGAACGATTAACAGGACATTTTTAGGTGCTACCAAGATTCGCAACGGTTAACAACGATTAACAAGGACGTGTGAAAAGAATCAGAAGGTCATTTACTTTTAAAAACGAAATGGTGTTAACCGTTTCAATGCTTTGTTAATCGTAACATTATTCTATCCATGGAATTATTATAAAAAGTTAACCGATTTGTAGCAAACGAGGTTTCTGTAACCTTCATAGTTTAGCGAATTTTAGGATTTGAGAAGCAGTTTCCACGTGACGGGATACGTTTCCATATTGGCTTCACTATACGTCACTAAATAAACACTACGAACTTCTTTTCTTCTAAGAAAACCGTCATCCAAGTCTTTTCCTGACTCTTCTGAAAACTATAAATCACTTTCCACACTTTCCAAGCCTGCCAGGTTTGAACAACACGAAAACATGTAACAATGAGCACGCGTTCTACGGCTATCGCAAAATCTTACTGTTTTAAGAGGGTACAGCCAAAAACGTGTATGAGGTGGTACTTTTCTATGAGAAGATGGTGTGCCGTGAAACTTTGTGCTTAAAGGAGCTTCTGTAAAGTGCTTTTTATTGGTAGGTTTCCGTTTTGTCCGTGTTAATATTCTTGCTAAAAAACGCGAATCACCTTATATACAATCTTGGACAAAACTGTTGAGAAAATTGCCTTCTTGGGGGTCATTTTTTCTAAACTTCGTAGCCGACCCATTCTTCCCTCCCCCTCTCCCCCTGGAAGCAGTGTTGTTGGGTCTTCAAAAGAAAGCCGGATCCCTAAGCATTTGTAGGAAGCAACTTTGAACTGGGGAGGGGTTTTTTTCGCAAAGCCGTTGATTTAGAAGTAGTTTTGTTGCGTTAGGTAGTGCACATTAATGAAAACATTTTCTCAAGTAGTTTTGTCCAGGATTGTATTTGACTGGAAAAGTCGATTTTGAGCATTTAATGCGGGCACATAAATCTGTTCTTTATTTTTTTTCGTACATTTCACAGAAAAGTAGATAATTAATGGAAAATAACTGACAACAGAGGAGGCGATGACAAGAAAATCAACTTGGATGTCTTTCTTGATTCAAGTAACCAATCGTGAACGTCTGTGAATTTCATTTTCCACGCAGGGTTTTTACGCGCTTTGAGTGCAGCGGAGCAGGCATACATTACGGTTTTGGCGGACGAGAAGGACGTCTCCGTCAAGGAGATTAGCCAGAAAACGGGAATTTCACCTGCTACGATTCGACCAACAAATAACACATGAAACTTTTGCTGACATTTCAGAGCGCGTGACCCATACTTTGAACAATTTTCCCATCGGCGAAATAGATAAAACAATCAAAGTCAGTGAACAAGCGCTTGCCATTAAATAACAGCATCAAATGGAGAGAGGATGAAATATTAACAAAACTTGTATTTTTACTTTCCAAATTTGAAAGCTTACTTTTGACACTGTAGCGATGTGCAGTGCAAAAAATCACACTATGAAATCTAGAAATGTCACGCGCGGTAACGTGACAAGATGTACTATCGTGTGACCTGTAAGAGTGCATGTTTTGCCCTCGGGCTATTTATAGCTTACATATGACTGGAAGAAATTATGAGATAAATTCATCATTTGTAAAGCAAGAGATAGTAAAAATTGCCATAGTTGTCTTCTAATCTCTTTCTCTCCACAATATCTAAGATTCGGAACGATTAACAGGACATTTTTAGGGTGCTACCAAGATTCGCAACGGTTAACAACGATTAACAAGGACGTGTGAAAAGAATCAGAAGGTCATTTACTTTTAAAAACGAAATGGTGTTAACCGTTTCAATGCTTTGTTAATCGTAACATTATTCTATCCATGGAATTATTATAAAAAGTTAACCGATTTGTAGCAAACGAGGTTTCTGTAACCTTCATAGTTTAGCGAATTTTAGGATTTGAGAAGCAGTTTCCACGTGACGGGATACGTTTCCATATTGGCTTCACTATACGTCACTAAATAAACACTACGAACTTCTTTTCTTCTAAGAAAACCGTCATCCAAGTCTTTTCCTGACTCTTCTGAAAACTATAAATCACTTTCCACACTTTCCAAGCCTGCCAGGTTTGAACAACACGAAAACATGTAACAATGAGCACGCGTTCTACGGCTATCGCAAAATCTTACTGTTTTAAGAGGGTACAGCCAAAAACGTGTATGAGGTGGTACTTTTCTATGAGAAGATGGTGTGCCGTGAAACTTTGTGCTTAAAGGAGCTTCTGTAAAGTGCTTTTTATTGGTAGGTTTCCGTTTTGTCCGTGTTAATATTCTTGCTAAAAACGCGAATCACCTTATATACAATCTTGGACAAAACTGTTGAGAAAATTGCCTTCTTGGGGGTCATTTTTTCTAAACTTCGTAGCCGACCCATTCTTCCCTCCCCTCTCCCCTGAAGCAGTGTTGTTGGGTCTTCAAAAGAAAGCCGGATCCCTAAGCATTTGTAGGAAGCAACTTTGAACTGGGGAGGGGGTTTTTCTTTAAAAGCCGTTGATTTAGAAGTAGTTTTGTTGCGTTAGGTAGTGCACATTAATGAAAACATTTTCTCAAGTAGTTTTGTCCAGGATTGTATTTGACTGGAAAAGTCGATTTTGAGCATTTAATGCGGGCACATAAATCTGTTCTTTATTTTTTTTCGTACATTTCACAGAAAAGTAGATAATTAATGGAAAATAACTGACAACAGAGGAGGCGATGACAAGAAAATCAACTTGGATGTCTTTCTTGATTCAAGTAACCAATCGTGAACGTCTGTGAATTTCATTTTCCACGCAGGGTTTTTACGCGCTTTTTGAGTGCAGCGGAGCAGGCATACATTACGGTTTTGGCGGACGAGAAGGACGTCTCCGTCAAGGAGATTAGCCAGAAAACGGGAATTTCACCTGCTACGATTCGACCAACAAATAACACATGAAACTTTTGCTGACATTTCAGAGCGCGTGACCCATACTTTGAACAATTTTCCCATCGGCGAAATAGATAAAACAATCAAAGTCAGTGAACAAGCGCTTGCCATTAAATAACAGCATCAAATGGAGAGGGATGAAATATTAACAAAACTTGTATTTTTACTTTCCAAATTTGAAAGCTTACTTTTGACACTGTAGCGATGTGCAGTGCAAAAAATCACACTATGAAATCTAGAAATGTCACGCGCGGTAACGTGACAAGATGTACTATCGTGTGACCTGTAAGAGTGCATGTTTTGCCCTCGGGCTATTTATAGCTTACATATGACTGGAAGAAATTATGAGATAAATTCATCATTTGTAAAGCAAGAGATAGTAAAAATTGCCATAGTTGTCTTCTAATCTCTTTCTCTCCACAATATCTAAGATTCGGAACGATTAACAGGACATTTTTTTAGGGTGCTACCAAGATTCGCAACGGTTAACAACGATTAACAAGGACGTGTGAAAAGAATCAGAAGGTCATTTACTTTTAAAAACGAAATGGTGTTAACCGTTTCAATGCTTTGTTAATCGTAACATTATTCTATCCATGGAATTATTATAAAAAGTTAACCGATTTGTAGCAAACGAGGTTTCTGTAACCTTCATAGTTTAGCGAATTTTAGGATTTGAGAAGCAGTTTCCACGTGACGGGATACGTTTCCATATTGGCTTCACTATACGTCACTAAATAAACACTACGAACTTCTTTTCTTCTAAGAAAACCGTCATCCAAGTCTTTTCCTGACTCTTCTGAAAACTATAAATCACTTTCCACACTTTCCAAGCCTGCCAGGTTTGAACAACACGAAAACATGTAACAATGAGCACGCGTTCTACGGCTATCGCAAAATCTTACTGTTTTAAGAGGGTACAGCCAAAAACGTGTATGAGGTGGTACTTTTCTATGAGAAGATGGTGTGCCGTGAAACTTTGTGCTTAAAGGAGCTTCTGTAAAGTGCTTTTTATTGGTAGGTTTCCGTTTTGTCCGTGTTAATATTCTTGCTAAAAAACGCGAATCACCTTATATACAATCTTGGACAAAACTGTTGAGAAAATTGCCTTCTTGGGGGTCATTTTTTCTAAACTTCGTAGCCGACCCATTCTTCCCTCCCCCTCTCCCCCTGGAAGCAGTGTTGTTGGGTCTTCAAAAGAAAGCCGGATCCCTAAGCATTTGTAGGAAGCAACTTTGAACTGGGGGAGGGGGTTTTCTTTACGCAAAGCCGTTGATTTAGAAGTAGTTTTGTTGCGTTAGGTAGTGCACATTAATGAAAACATTTTCTCAAGTAGTTTTGTCCAGGATTGTATTTGACTGGAAAAGTCGATTTTGAGCATTTAATGCGGGCACATAAATCTGTTCTTTATTTTTTTCGTACATTTCACAGAAAAGTAGATAATTAATGGAAAATAACTGACAACAGAGGAGGCGATGACAAGAAAATCAACTTGGATGTCTTTCTTGATTCAAGTAACCAATCGTGAACGTCTGTGAATTTCATTTTCCACGCAGGGTTTTTACGCGCGCTTTGAGTGCAGCGGAGCAGGCATACATTACGGTTTTGGCGGACGAGAAGGACGTCTCCGTCAAGGAGATTAGCCAGAAAACGGGAATTTCACCTGCTACGATTCGACCAACAAATAACACATGAAACTTTTGCTGACATTTCAGAGCGCGTGACCCATACTTTGAACAATTTTCCCATCGGCGAAATAGATAAAACAATCAAAGTCAGTGAACAAGCGCTTGCCATTAAATAACAGCATCAAATGGAGAGAGGATGAAATATTAACAAAACTTGTATTTTACTTTCCAAATTTGAAAGCTTACTTTTGACACTGTAGCGATGTGCAGTGCAAAAATCACACTATGAAATCTAGAAATGTCACGCGCGGTAACGTGACAAGATGTACTATCGTGTGACCTGTAAGAGTGCATGTTTTGCCCTCGGGCTATTTATAGCTTACATATGACTGGAAGAAATTATGAGATAAATTCATCATTTGTAAAGCAAGAGATAGTAAAAATGCCATAGTTGTCTTCTAATCTCTTTCTCTCCACAATATCTAAGATTCGGAACGATTAACAGGACATTTTTAGGGTGCTACCAAGATTCGCAACGGTTAACAACGATTAACAAGGACGTGTGAAAAGAATCAGAAGGTCATTTACTTTTAAAAACGAAATGGTGTTAACCGTTTCAATGCTTTGTTAATCGTAACATTATTCTATCCATGGAATTATTATAAAAAGTTAACCGATTTGTAGCAAACGAGGTTTCTGTAACCTTCATAGTTTAGCGAATTTTAGGATTTGAGAAGCAGTTTCCACGTGACGGGATACGTTTCCATATTGGCTTCACTATACGTCACTAAATAAACACTACGAACTTCTTTTCTTCTAAGAAAACCGTCATCCAAGTCTTTTCCTGACTCTTCTGAAAACTATAAATCACTTTCCACACTTTCCAAGCCTGCCAGGTTTGAACAACACGAAAACATGTAACAATGAGCACGCGTTCTACGGCTATCGCAAAATCTTACTGTTTTAAGAGGGTACAGCCAAAAACGTGTATGAGGTGGTACTTTTCTATGAGAAGATGGTGTGCCGTGAAACTTTGTGCTTAAAGGAGCTTCTGTAAAGTGCTTTTTATTGGTAGGTTTCCGTTTTGTCCGTGTTAATATTCTTGCTAAAAAACGCGAATCACCTTATATACAATCTTGGACAAAACTGTTGAGAAAATTGCCTTCTTGGGGGTCATTTTTTCTAAACTTCGTAGCCGACCCATTCTTCCCTCCCCCTCTCCCCCCTGGAAGCAGTGTTGTTGGGTCTTCAAAAGAAAGCCGGATCCCTAAGCATTTGTAGGAAGCAACTTTGAACTGGGGGAGGGGGTTTTCTTTACGCAAAGCCGTTGATTTAGAAGTAGTTTTGTTGCGTTAGGTAGTGCACATTAATGAAAACATTTTCTCAAGTAGTTTTGTCCAGGATTGTATTTGACTGGAAAAGTCGATTTTGAGCATTTAATGCGGGCACATAAATCTGTTCTTTATTTTTTTCGTACATTTCACAGAAAAGTAGATAATTAATGGAAAATAACTGACAACAGAGGAGGCGATGACAAGAAAATCAACTTGGATGTCTTTCTTGATTCAAGTAACCAATCGTGAACGTCTGTGAATTTCATTTTCCACGCAGGGTTTTTACGCGCGCTTTGAGTGCAGCGGAGCAGGCATACATTACGGTTTTGGCGGACGAGAAGGACGTCTCCGTCAAGGAGATTAGCCAGAAAACGGGAATTTCACCTGCTACGATTCGACCAACAAATAACACATGAAACTTTTGCTGACATTTCAGAGCGCGTGACCCATACTTTGAACAATTTTCCCATCGGCGAAATAGATAAAACAATCAAAGTCAGTGAACAAGCGCTTGCCATTAAATAACAGCATCAAATGGAGAGGGATGAAATATTAACAAAACTTGTATTTTTACTTTCCAAATTTGAAAGCTTACTTTTGACACTGTAGCGATGTGCAGTGCAAAAAATCACACTATGAAATCTAGAAATGTCACGCGCGGTAACGTGACAAGATGTACTATCGTGTGACCTGTAAGAGTGCATGTTTTGCCCTCGGGCTATTTATAGCTTACATATGACTGGAAGAAATTATGAGATAAATTCATCATTTGTAAAGCAAGAGATAGTAAAATTGCCATAGTTGTCTTCTAATCTCTTTCTCTCCACAATATCTAAGATTCGGAACGATTAACAGGACATTTTTAGGGTGCTACCAAGATTCGCAACGGTTAACAACGATTAACAAGGACGTGTGAAAAGAATCAGAAGGTCATTTACTTTTAAAAAAACGAAATGGTGTTAACCGTTTCAATGCTTTGTTAATCGTAACATTATTCTATCCATGGAATTATTATAAAAAGTTAACCGATTTGTAGCAAACGAGGTTTCTGTAACCTTCATAGTTTAGCGAATTTTAGGATTTGAGAAGCAGTTTCCACGTGACGGGATACGTTTCCATATTGGCTTCACTATACGTCACTAAATAAACACTACGAACTTCTTTTCTTCTAAGAAAACCGTCATCCAAGTCTTTTCCTGACTCTTCTGAAAACTATAAATCACTTTCCACACTTTCCAAGCCTGCCAGGTTTGAACAACACGAAAACATGTAACAATGAGCACGCGTTCTACGGCTATCGCAAAATCTTACTGTTTTAAGAGGGTACAGCCAAAAACGTGTATGAGGTGGTACTTTTCTATGAGAAGATGGTGTGCCGTGAAACTTTGTGCTTAAAGGAGCTTCTGTAAAGTGCTTTTTATTGGTAGGTTTCCGTTTTGTCCGTGTTAATATTCTTGCTAAAAAACGCGAATCACCTTATATACAATCTTGGACAAAACTGTTGAGAAAATTGCCTTCTTGGGGGTCATTTTTTCTAAACTTCGTAGCCGACCCATTCTTCCCTCCCCCTCTCCCCCTGGAAGCAGTGTTGTTGGGTCTTCAAAAGAAAGCCGGATCCCTAAGCATTTGTAGGAAGCAACTTTGAACTGGGGGAGGGGGTTTTCTTTACGCAAAGCCGTTGATTTAGAAGTAGTTTTGTTGCGTTAGGTAGTGCACATTAATGAAAACATTTTCTCAAGTAGTTTTGTCCAGGATTGTATTTGACTGGAAAAGTCGATTTTGAGCATTTAATGCGGGCACATAAATCTGTTCTTTATTTTTTCGTACATTTCACAGAAAAGTAGATAATTAATGGAAAATAACTGACAACAGAGGAGGCGATGACAAGAAAATCAACTTGGATGTCTTTCTTGATTCAAGTAACCAATCGTGAACGTCTGTGAATTTCATTTTCCACGCAGGGTTTTTACGCGCGCTTTGAGTGCAGCGGAGCAGGCATACATTACGGTTTTGGCGGACGAGAAGGACGTCTCCGTCAAGGAGATTAGCCAGAAAACGGGAATTTCACCTGCTACGATTCGACCAACAAATAACACATGAAACTTTTGCTGACATTTCAGAGCGCGTGACCCATACTTTGAACAATTTTCCCATCGGCGAAATAGATAAAACAATCAAAGTCAGTGAACAAGCGCTTGCCATTAAATAACAGCATCAAATGGAGAGAGGATGAAATATTAACAAAACTTGTATTTTTACTTTCCAAATTTGAAAGCTTACTTTTGACACTGTAGCGATGTGCAGTGCAAAAAATCACACTATGAAATCTAGAAATGTCACGCGCGGTAACGTGACAAGATGTACTATCGTGTGACCTGTAAGAGTGCATGTTTTGCCCTCGGGCTATTTATAGCTTACATATGACTGGAAGAAATTATGAGATAAATTCATCATTTGTAAAGCAAGAGATAGTAAAAATTGCCATAGTTGTCTTCTAATCTCTTTCTCTCCACAATATCTAAGATTCGGAACGATTAACAGGACATTTTCAGGGTGCTACCAAGATTCGCAACGGTTAACAACGATTAACAAGGACGTGTGAAAAGAATCAGAAGGTCATTTACTTTTAAAAACGAAATGGTGTTAACCGTTTCAATGCTTTGTTAATCGTAACATTATTCTATCCATGGAATTATTATAAAAAGTTAACCGATTTGTAGCAAACGAGGTTTCTGTAACCTTCATAGTTTAGCGAATTTTAGGATTTGAGAAGCAGTTTCCACGTGACGGGATACGTTTCCATATTGGCTTCACTATACGTCACTAAATAAACACTACGAACTTCTTTTCTTCTAAGAAAACCGTCATCCAAGTCTTTTCCTGACTCTTCTGAAAACTATAAATCACTTTCCACACTTTCCAAGCCTGCCAGGTTTGAACAACACGAAAACATGTAACAATGAGCACGCGTTCTACGGCTATCGCAAAATCTTACTGTTTTAAGAGGGTACAGCCAAAAACGTGTATGAGGTGGTACTTTTCTATGAGAAGATGGTGTGCCGTGAAACTTTGTGCTTAAAGGAGCTTCTGTAAAGTGCTTTTTATTGGTAGGTTTCCGTTTTGTCCGTGTTAATATTCTTGCTAAAAACGCGAATCACCTTATATACAATCTTGGACAAAACTGTTGAGAAAATTGCCTTCTTGGGGGTCATTTTTTCTAAACTTCGTAGCCGACCCATTCTTCCCTCCCCTCTCCCCTGGAAGCAGTGTTGTTGGGTCTTCAAAAGAAAGCCGGATCCCTAAGCATTTGTAGGAAGCAACTTTGAACTGGGGAGGGGTTTTCTTTACGCAAAGCCGTTGATTTAGAAGTAGTTTTGTTGCGTTAGGTAGTGCACATTAATGAAAACATTTTCTCAAGTAGTTTTGTCCAGGATTGTATTTGACTGGAAAAGTCGATTTTGAGCATTTAATGCGGGCACATAAATCTGTTCTTTATTTTTTTCGTACATTTCACAGAAAAGTAGATAATTAATGGAAAATAACTGACAACAGAGGAGGCGATGACAAGAAAATCAACTTGGATGTCTTTCTTGATTCAAGTAACCAATCGTGAACGTCTGTGAATTTCATTTTCCACGCAGGGTTTTACGCGCGCTTTGAGTGCAGCGGAGCAGGCATACATTACGGTTTTGGCGGACGAGAAGGACGTCTCCGTCAAGGAGATTAGCCAGAAAACGGGAATTTCACCTGCTACGATTCGACCAACAAATAACACATGAAACTTTTGCTGACATTTCAGAGCGCGTGACCCATACTTTGAACAATTTTCCCATCGGCGAAATAGATAAAACAATCAAAGTCAGTGAACAAGCGCTTGCCATTAAATAACAGCATCAAATGGAGAGAGGATGAAATATTAACAAAACTTGTATTTTTACTTTCCAAATTTGAAAGCTTACTTTTGACACTGTAGCGATGTGCAGTGCAAAAAATCACACTATGAAATCTAGAAATGTCACGCGCGGTAACGTGACAAGATGTACTATCGTGTGACCTGTAAGAGTGCATGTTTTGCCCTCGGGCTATTTATAGCTTACATATGACTGGAAGAAATTATGAGATAAATTCATCATTTGTAAAGCAAGAGATAGTAAAAATTGCCATAGTTGTCTTCTAATCTCTTTCTCTCCACAATATCTAAGATTCGGAACGATTAACAGGACATTTTCAGGGTGCTACCAAGATTCGCAACGGTTAACAACGATTAACAAGGACGTGTGAAAAGAATCAGAAGGTCATTTACTTTTAAAAACGAAATGGTGTTAACCGTTTCAATGCTTTGTTAATCGTAACATTATTCTATCCATGGAATTATTATAAAAAGTTAACCGATTTGTAGCAAACGAGGTTTCTGTAACCTTCATAGTTTAGCGAATTTTAGGATTTGAGAAGCAGTTTCCACGTGACGGGATACGTTTCCATATTGGCTTCACTATACGTCACTAAATAAACACTACGAACTTCTTTTCTTCTAAGAAAACCGTCATCCAAGTCTTTTCCTGACTCTTCTGAAAACTATAAATCACTTTCCACACTTTCCAAGCCTGCCAGGTTTGAACAACACGAAAACATGTAACAATGAGCACGCGTTCTACGGCTATCGCAAAATCTTACTGTTTTAAGAGGGTACAGCCAAAAACGTGTATGAGGTGGTACTTTTCTATGAGAAGATGGTGTGCCGTGAAACTTTGTGCTTAAAGGAGCTTCTGTAAAGTGCTTTTTATTGGTAGGTTTCCGTTTTGTCCGTGTTAATATTCTTGCTAAAAAACGCGAATCACCTTATATACAATCTTGGACAAAACTGTTGAGAAAATTGCCTTCTTGGGGGTCATTTTTTCTAAACTTCGTAGCCGACCCATTCTTCCCTCCCCCTCTCCCCCTGGAAGCAGTGTTGTTGGGTCTTCAAAAGAAAGCCGGATCCCTAAGCATTTGTAGGAAGCAACTTTGAACTGGGGGAGGGGGTTTTCTTTACGCAAAGCCGTTGATTTAGAAGTAGTTTTGTTGCGTTAGGTAGTGCACATTAATGAAAACATTTTCTCAAGTAGTTTTGTCCAGGATTGTAGGTGCCAGCTGGCTACAATGGAGGCACCCAGACATCCCAAGCACCCGTCTTTCACACAGTGTGACGGTTGCCTGGACAAATTGGTTTGGGGTGGGGACTAATGGCTGTGTTGCCGGAATTACCAGCCATGGGAGCAGTTCTCTGTCTAGGACCGGCTGGCTACAGTGGAGGCCCTCAGACATCCCAGGCACCCATCTTCCATACATTGTGATGCAGTTGTTAAAACCAGTATTTATTTAAGACAATATTAAAAGTGTGTAGAAGTTGGTTATTAATGATTTACTCACCTGAAGAGACGTCATTTGTTGCTGTTGCTGAGCAAGGGCTTGGTTGAGCTCTCTATACTGTTCTGTCGTGCGACGGAGATCATCTCTTAACTGGCCCATCTGTCACAGACAAAAAAAAAAGAAAACAAAATCAGAATACCGTAGGGTTTACCAACTTCAATTGCTGTGAGTCAAGCCAATCTGTAAAATACAGTAAACAATACTAATTGCTCAAGCGACCAATCATTTAATTTGGAAAATGCCCTGATATTCACATCTATGTATCTAACATCCTTTGATATTCACTGTTTTGCGACCGGAGCCAAGATGGCGTCTTCGAGGCATTTTCCACCACTATTGTATTCACCTCTCCTTCGGGAGATAGTTGTATACTATTCGCAAGCACGCCTATTGATATAACAGGCTACACAATAAAAATGTAAAACTCAGGGCCAAAAAAGGTGCACCACTGACAATCTCAAGTGGACGAAGTCACTGCAACCTAGTTTCCAGGTTCCTTTTTTGTTGTGCGATAGGAAGTCTGGGATAATATTTAGTCCTTATTACTGCAAAGAGGGTAATTAATGTAATTTGCAAGACTTACTTCTGTTTCGCGATCTAATCTTTCCTTGTTAAACTTCTCTGTTTCTCGATCGAGTTTATCCTTTAGTTTTTCTATGGTTCGTTTCTGTGGAAAAAAAGGGTGTTAACAATAACAAGTACAAGCCGAAACTTAGGAGAAACATCAATTACACACCAGTAAATTAACTTTGGCGACATTTTTGTATCGATGATATGTAAGCTGAACAACATAGGGTCCAAGATAGACCCTTGCTGCACACCCTAGGTTAGTGCGGTATCGACCCATGTTTACTGCACGCAGCCAGTAAGGTAGCTTTTCAAGCCAGTTATGACTTTGCATAAGGAGGACATAACTCTAAGACTGATAATTTGAACTGGAGCAATCATGGCTACAATTAAGACTGACGAACATGAAATGTGTGCGTACCCTATTCAGCCAGCAGAAATCCTACTTTACTCTAGGTGAACCAGCATTACCTTTTCCTCGATGCTATCTGTCAGCTCCTGTTGTTGGATTTTACTTTCCTCCAGTTGGTTTCTAACGAAAGATAATTCGCTCTGCAACAGAGAACGTTAACAGATGTTAAGTTTTCGTTGACAAGGAACTAACGTCCCATTTTTTCCACACCCCGTAAAGAAAAACCTGCTGGTGTAAAAGAGGCTTAAATTATAGCAATTCTAGCCTGAAGTGATATCTTTTCGTTACTCTTATTATGGCAAATATTACGGCGAAGCTTATAAACCAAAAAGAAAACGTTATCTTAACTACTCACATCTTTTTCGCCAAGGTTCTTCTTTAAGCTTTTCACTGACTCCATCAAATTATTTACACAGTCCTGCAACAACAGCAAAACAATGCGCAACGTCAGTTTGTTACACTTTATCATTCTTTAGAGTATATAAAATAAGGAGAGTTAGTATTCCCACGATAGAAATATCTTAAGCACTATTATCTTTGCATGTAGACTGAGGATATTTCATGATGTCTACCGTAAGATAAATAAATTCCAAGCCAAAAGAATGGATCTAGTATACTACGCAATCAAGAAAGGGGAGTGGTGGGTCCCCCGTCCCTCGCCCCAGAGCGCCCTAGAGAGCTTGCTCACAGGCTAATAAGAGAAACAACGAGTCCTCAACGGCAACAGGTCAAACCAGTTTCGGACATCTTTGGCGGATACTCTCCTTCCCTACGAGCAGAGACTCCTTCGAACATCTGAAGAAGACTCTATTCGCACGGTAATAATCGCCGCAAAATCATCCAAAAGCATATCCAGACAAAGGCATAGCATCTATCAATAAATTTAAATCATTACATGGATATTTCTCTTCGCACCCATGAAAAATGTTCTTCATCAAGACCTTATTTCTCTTCAGTGACTAAGGAACAGCTACTTACGATGTCAGATTCGTTTCGCTTGTTCAACATTCTGATTGTAGTCTTTGCTTCATCGAGTTCATTTGACAACGAGTGTATTTTCTGGGCCTGTTGTGTCATAATAAAACTCACATGTTAGTCATTTAGAACATAGCTTTTTCCTGCGGTTCTGTACACTACTGTTGAAGAGAAAGAAGAGAGAAAGGTGATCCCTAACGAACCGGAAAAAAATCGAACAGACGCGCGGAACTGATTTTGTTTCATGTAATGTCCTCGCACATATAAAATGAAACACCAACCTGCTGCTCGCATGTGGAGGTACTTTCTTGTAGTTCTGTCCTGAGTGCTACCAGCTGTTCTAGCGCTCGCACCATATCCTGAAATCAAACGACATTATCAGACTCAACAGAAGTTAACATTACCCTTTAGATGGAATTACTGTTACATACTTACAAAGAAAATGTTGCTTCTGCGTTAACTAGAAGGACTCTACAGAATGATTAACATAATTGACCCGAAATGAAATACGAGACAGTAAAGAAAAACCAGAGGTAAGACATGAAGGATGAGAGTAAGAATCTAGCCTCTCTCTCTCCCCCGCCCTAATCCTCACAAAAAACACGAGGTGACTGAACTATTGTCACTTGGATTCAAAACATGAATCTCACCTGTTGTTTGTCTTGTTGGGCGAGTAACTTGTTATTTGTCTCCGTCTGTATGTCTAATTTTTCCAAAGTTCCCTAAAAATACATCAAAGTCAATTAGTTCACCGCTTGAACGAAGCGCAGGTGAAAATCTATACTAATAAGGGCCCTATTGAAAACCAGCACTGAGAGTTGGGCCTTTTCTTTAAACATTATCATCATCATTATTATGATAATTATTGTTATTATCATCATTACAATAATGATGATGACGACGATGATAACGATTATTATCATTATTAATCAATGATGTTACCTGACGGCTGCACTGTTTGCCCGCAGATATGCTGCGCTTTTGCAAGCGCAGTAGGGCCATATAATATGAGAAAATACTAACTAAACAATAATAATTAGTATTGATAGGGGTTACGTACCTGTAGCTCTTGCCCCAAGTCCTTCACACGTTGCCTCTCAGACTGCAACATATTCTCATATTCATCGATTTTATGGTTCTTAAATTCCAGTTCATCTCTGAGAGTCTCTATATCCGCCTGCAACGACAACAACAACAACGGTTAGATGAAATTTTATTCCACGAAAAACTTCAGAAAAATATACTCACGAAGGTGATGTTCACGACTACCTACTGTTGTCATCGATTTACAAAGCCGTCTGAAGCTAAGATGTATCTCCTGTATTTCGCGTAACGGTAAGCTATAACCGCATAGTTAGCGTCTTTCACTGCGATGGTCTTCTCTTCACTGACTAAGCCATGCTATTTTAAAACGAAATTCTTCAGGGATATCTTCACTTAGGAACTCGAAGCCATTGTGAATGCCTGGACCAGCTGCATGGACGGCGTCAAAAAACCTTTGTCATATTTAAGCGCCATAAACAATGAACTACTACACCATTGTCGGAAAAGTTGCGACGATTAGCTGAAAAACTTTTCGTTAAGTACACGGGTGTTTCCAGTTTCTTCTTAAATTAACGACGGTAGTTATAAACGTCCGATGATATCTGAAGAGACTCTAGTCTTTCTGCCAACGCCTCCCCGCCACCTATTTTCTCGACGCGCAAAATCAGGGGAATGGAGTCATCTGCAAACAAATGTTTGTATAAAATAAAAGAAATAAAGCGACAGATCCTCACCTGCAAATGCTGGTTCATCTCTATTGTGCTCTCCGTTTCTGTCTGCTGGTTGTAGTTCTCTATTTCAAGTCTTGTTAGCTGAAAGACAGATTTGTATCAAGATAAGTCTTGAGTCACTATTCTATAAAACAGCAGCGGAGTAATGAGCAATAAGGAACATATTTAGTGATTTCAGAATATTTTCTTTTTTCTTTCTAACTTAAATCAGGAGGTCACAAGTTCTGAAAGGTGACATCGCAAAGTATAAATCGTCCTTTTTACGTTAGCTTATTATATGGCTGAATCGGCGAGGGCATGGAACCATCTTGCCCACTCTGGATTTCCCGCGTGTGTCCCGCAATTGGCCATAAAATAAACCCCTTACTGACCAAGCCTTTTCGGTCAAGATGGTTGGATATTGGTTTCATTCTTTTCTGCGTTTTTAGAACTTGGTCAATATCCAGCCATCTTGACCTCACGTTTGGTCAATAACGGATATATATCACCCCAACGCTAACTCGCCGTTAGTAATACCAAGAGTAATCAATGAGAGAGGAATGCGATACATTAGTGATAAGCAACGGAAGGAGAGGGCACTAAATAAAAAAACCGGAAAGGTAAAACTACAGTGGGCATGAAGGCCAAAATGAAACATGAAATTATACATGAAAATTGCTATACCTTGCTCTCTAATGAAGCAAGTTTCCTGCCGGATTCGATGCTCTCCATGTCACGTTCCTTCTTTAGGGAATCTACCTGCCTCTCCGATGCTTGTAACGAGCATTTCAAGTCTTCTACTTCACTGCGAAGAACTGCGTTAAAAATCAGACAAACGTATCACTGACTAGTCCTGTAAATGATATGTAGGTTTAGCACATCTGTCAAATTCTGCAGACTAGCAGTTAAGGTTTAGGTTCTTCAGAGCGGTTAACTAGGTTTACTATAGCACTTTGGCATGTTTACGTCAGAGGAGCAAATTTGTTAGATTATGCGAATTTGTAAACACATAAATTTTCAAGGTATTAGAGTTGAAAAGAATACTGATGTAAAGAGAAGTGCAAAAGAATTTGTGCTCACAAACGAGGCTCGCTGGTAACGTTTGCTTGCCAGTCTGCATGCTTTAAACGTTCATGACCATTGAAGTGTAAACATTATTCATCTCAAAACATTAGCAACTTTGAGCGACAAAAACTGGGTTAATTTCCTGGACGTTAATGCGAGGTAGATTTTTTCTTTCCTTCCTTGCTACTATGTCACGGCGTCCCAGTCTGGCAACAGACTTGCTTATCTGTAGATGGCTAGAAGAAGATGAATGTACTTTAAACACGCTCCAAATCAAATCTTTCTGCTTTTCGTCCTCACTTACCTACACAATGATTAGAGAGTTTCTGGCCCAAGTTTTTCAAAAGATGACTGGATAACGGTATCCACCGGATAAATCTCCATGCAGTGGATAGTTTTACTGATTTTCTTAATACTTATCCACTGAACAGTGATTTATCCAGTGGATAGCGCTATCCAGCTGTTGAACAACTGAGGCCTATACTACAAATGTTATAACCTGATTTTTCACAATCTATTTAGCGGTAAGATTAAGAAGAAGTTTAATGTTACCCACCCGTCAGCTCCCCCCGGGCCTCCTTCAGCTTGTCTGCTAGACCCAGGTTCTTCATATTTAGCTCGGTCTCGATAGCTGCGTGCTTTTCCCGCTCCGTACTAAGAACCTGGAATAAAACACCAGCATCCAAAGCATTTTCTCCTTGTAAAGCAACTGACAATATGCCTATATCTTAAGGTTTAATTTTGGTCTTGGTTTAGATTTTATTTTTCTTTGTTCTTAGGGTATGGTTATGCGTGATAATGCGTTCGATACAAAAAGAAATTAAACTTTCAACCGAGAAAAAAATTCATAAATGAACGACAACTTACTACATTATCGATGGTGAATTTTTCATTAAAAAGGGAGACCGAAAGTGGATGTAATGGTTTAAAATACAGTTTCCTGTTTCGCCTATCTAAGAGAAAGCAACGCCCTTACTCTTACTAAACAACCTCAGTGCCACTGTCAAATTTAAAGTTTGAAGACTGCAGTGAAATGTGTATTGTCAATACGTAGCTTCTTCGCCTTTTTCGCCTATTATTTTTCTTGCATGACAAATAACAAATATCATTCACTTATCAGTAAGAAGTTAAGTTATCAGGTAGCTTCGTCTCCGTAACTAAAGTGTTGTTGACGTAATGGACTACTTCGAATGGAACTAACCGTTGTAAGATTTTGTACTTGGTGCTCAAGTTTGTTCACGTTTTGGTTCAGTCGTATTCTTGTCGCCTCTTCTTGCTGGAGCTGTTGTAGCTGAATATTGTTCATCTCCTGGTAAAACAGGGTTAAAAACAGCAGATTAGGACAAGACTTTGCAGTAGGCTTTACTTTCCATAGAGTTTTTTCGTTGCTTGAAAGTCACTATTTTATTTGGCTTCCCGAATGACCACTCATAACAGTGTAAGTGATTTGCTATCTAACCAATCAGAGACATTAGCAGATCCGTAATAGAAAAAACACACGTAAGTAACAGTCCGTCTCTGCAGGTCTGGCGTTTTTTATTTTGCACTGTTGCCCGCTCAAAGAGTTTGGCGGGAAAAATTTCATTGTTAGACAATATGCGACTTAAAAGTAGCCAATGAAAGCACAAGTTCCCTCTGAGAGATACATGTTATATTCGTCATATCAAAAAAATGTCTTAGTTCCCAACAGGATTCAAACCGGTATGGCATCGTCGCCCGGTTTATACGCGTAGAGCTAAAGGCTGCTAGGTTCAGCGTTATTATAAAGGCTTTTATCTTTCACCTGCTGTTTTTTGAGTTCTTCCAAAAGAGATTCACAATACAACTCTTCGTCATCCATCTCTTCAGAGTCGAAGTTAAAGAACGGTTCATCCGTGTCACTGTCCGATCCGACATCATGGTAACTATCTCTTCTGATGAGTCCATTAGGCGGCTTTGGTTTCTCATCAGGTGTTCCAATGACAGGAGAGGAGGTCAATTTGGATTTCCGACTGTTGGCTGGAGATCTTTTAGGTGTGCTAGCAGCGGTGAGAGGGCTCAGTCGGTTGGGTTGTAATAGCTTGCGAGGTGACGTAAGGCTCTGTAGCGAGAATAATAAGTACTGTCGTTAAACAGTGTACACCGCTTACTCCTGATTCAAGCAGTGACTACAAGATACAGTGATTTACGGATATTTGTAAGATTGTATGTACCGGTATGCGAAGATGAGATTTTCAATTTGACTTAATCCTTTTCGGGTATTCTCAGAAAAAATAGACACACCGGAAAACTTCATTGTACTTTTTTTTTTTTTTTTTAGTATAAAAGTAAAAGCCTTTTTTTTTTTTTTTTTTCTAGAAGGAGGTTAAGCCCTCTCCCGATCGCAAAATTATAAAGCTTCTAGTAACATTGGATAACTTTTTACCGTCACTACGACATTTTGTCGAAAACCCCTAGTAGAATGAGGATGACTATAGCGTTTGCCGCCAACGTGACGCTGGTTCACGCGCGTACACTACTTAGTATTGAGAAATTCTCGTTCTCTTAGCTCTTAGTCGTGCCTCGTCTATAATATTAAGCAGTTTGCAAAATACATGGTCTAGGAAGCTCTTGTTCTCAAATAAATTATCCTCCTTCAATAAGTCAACCAGTTACAACTTGAGTCTTGGCAATCTTAGAAGTTTTCGAGCAAAGGGCAATCTCACAATAGGCCGATTCCGAGTTCCAAAAACTCTCACATTAAAAACGAGGCTAAGTGCAAAACCTTTCTTGTGAAAATGAGTTTTATTTACATGAGAATAAAAAATCATTATCGTATCAATGGCTTCGCACTCAGCCTGGCAGAGACTTGGGGCAACATCAGAATGGCCCATTATAACTTTTCGTAGAAGATTCATAGCCTTACCTTTATCGTTTGCATGTGAATGTCATTAAGGGTCGTCCTCTCTACAGCCGTTTTTAGTTGATGAGCCTCGAGCGCTCTCTAAAAATTGAGCGAAATTTTCATCAGTTACTAAAATTAAGTTCAAACCGAAAGTGACAACATCGAGACATTTTTTATCTGTAGTTCGTGAACAAATGACGTATATCATAATAAGGCGAACCTCGCGGCCTGAGAAGTAACTTAAGATAATTCCCCACAACCAACCTACACGACTGGTACTTATTTATACACATTGTCGTCAGTTATAGTTTACTTCTTTTTATGCCAGAAAAGGGTTACAGTCAAGAATACACATTCCGCTCCATATTGGTACGCAGCCCTCTTTAGACACGCAAATACAGTCGACTCCCGATAACTCGAACCTTCAAGGGAAATCGAAAAAAGTTCGAGTTATCGGGAGTTCGAGTTATCGGGAGCTCGAAGAAAATAGCCGAGAGTAAGGTAAAAAAACAGTTTTTACTGCACATTGAACATTTTAATCACGTTTAATTGTAGAAATGTCAAGTGAAAATTAGAAGGTACTTTTAGATTATAAATCAGAACGTACCGTAACAAAACATAGCCTAAATAGAGCATGCGTTTTACTGTTTTGAGAAGTAAAGCTGCTTCACGTTAGCCTGTGACAATCAACATCAGCCTCCATTAGTAAACTATACTCCTACAACACGTTAATAGGAAATCCAAAATTCAATGTTTCGGACGCCAGTAGACGGCTTTTTTCCCGACTTTTTAAGGGCTCAAAACATGGTTCAAGTTATCGAGGGTAAAATTATATAGAAAATGACCTGAGGGGAAACGAAAATTGGTTCGAGTTAGCGGGAGTTCGAGTTATCGAGGGTTCGAGTTACCGAGGGTAAAATTACAGGGGAAATCGATTTTGGTTCGAGTTAGCGCGAGGTTCGAGTTACCGAGGGTTCGAGTTATCGGGAGTCGACTGTACGTCTATTAATTAATCAACAATCGAGGTTTCATTTAGACAATTAGTTGTTCTACTCCACTCCTAGTTAAGGAGGCAAGGCATACTCATTGGTTCTTCAAGTTACCTCAAGTTCAGCGTTTGCTTTCCTTAGCGATAGGACTTCAGCATCAAAATCGATGCCCTTCTTTCGGAAACTCTCTTCTTGCCCCACTAGTTTTTCTTTCATCTGCTGCAAGCTCTCGCGGGTCTCTGTGAGTTCCTCGCGAGTCTGGGCAGTAGGAAAAAAGAAACAGTTCACCATTTCACTGATTTCTAAGAGCAGCAGACTAAATATTAGTTTCTCTTAAAATTCGGTGTCAATATGAAACATGTGTCTAAAAACGTACTTAAATGCAAACAAGGGATGCATTGTTTAGTTATATTTTTCAATGAAGGTTTAAATTGTAGCGTATTTCTCTTAAATGAGAATTTAAGAACAACTAAACGTACACTCGCTCGTTTGTTCAAAAGAAGAATTAACCCTCTAAACCAGTGCGAGAGAAAAAAAAAGCAAAGACAAAAGAGAAAACGTTTACCCTTGAGTTTAGACGCACGCCTGCCTAGTCGCAATACGGCTTCTTCCCGGGCCTTCTCGGTCAATGCATTTCGGTGACGTATGCGAGACGAACGGCTGGGATTCTCGCTCGGACCACGAGACCAGAAACGTATCGGCCGTTCGCAATAACGAGGCCTAGGGACTAGGCAAAACGCATGCCACTTCGGCCAAATAAAAACAAGTGTACAACTGGCTCTGAAACAAGGAAGAGGCCTATAGCCGTCCCGATTTCTTCTGGTTGTCATACTTGCACTTACCGATTCTAATTGGGCCTGCAGCTGTGCTTTTTCAAACTTGAACTTTTCAAGTTCAGCGTTTGAAGCTTCTAAGTTCAATAGTGAATTGGATAAACTTCTCTCCAGCTCTGTAAAAGAATTTGTGCATGCCATTAATTCAGATCACGCAAAAGACAATTACAATTGCGGGGGAAGTTTGCCCAGTGGTGTGATCTATCTCTACAATTTTTACATGCATTACTTCATTCATACAGAATTTGGGTATGGTTGCTTGATTGCAAAAAATTTAGTTTTGAAAGAGGTCATAAACCATCACTAAATTCAACATCATCATTGGAAAAACGACTGTTTCTTAACCCTTGAACTCCTTAATCAAACAAGAAGGTCTGAAGGATAAAGAAAATGTCTTGATTGTTACAAATTCTCCTCACCAGAACAAAAGGAAATATACGAAAAACAGAGACAAGAATATGGACGTGATGCACAATGCAATGGCATTTAAAGGTATGGTTGCATTAGATTGATTGGCTTTGGCTGCTCTCTTTATGAAAAAGAAACGATTTAGCAACTGACCACTCCCTTGTGGTGACTGTAGCAGCTCTCGTAGTTGTCTTTCTAACTGAAGCGAGTATCGTTGACTCTTGGCGAGGTCCTGAGCGTAACTCCTATCTTCCTCATTCCGTGAGCGAATGCACTTCAGTTCAGCTAAGGAAGAGTAAAAGCAAAAAGTTGAGAAATCATTATTTATGTGGCGGAAAAAGAACGCACGCAGGCTTGTCTGCGACTGTTCCACAAAACATGTCGCCTAAAAGTTACCCTTATTCTAAAAATACCACCTAAATCATTTTCTATGGAGCAATGTGGGAAAAGAGCAACCCTGTACACTGGAGAGCGATGACAGCTTTTCTGGACAACCTGACACTTAAACTTCACCCTTTTTAATCCCAATTCTCAATGCAAGTAAATATTTTGTAACTGTAATATGACAGCACCCAATGTTGCCGGAAGGGAACAAAAGCCGAAGAAGATTGTCTCAATTACCTCTGAGCTCCAGATTTTCCATAGCGAATCTTGTGACATCCGGGTGATGTTCGAGTTTGTCTTTCATGACAGCGATTTCTTCTTTGAGAAGTTGCTTAAAAAAAAGAGAAGAAGAAAAGTGAATTTTAAGCTTCAAGAAAAGCAATGTGTTCGGTAATTCGTAGGCAATTCATAGGGTTTCTAATAATAATTAATAATAACAATAATGTCCTTTATCATTCGATGCAAACTTTTCTTCCTTTTCATTGGCCGAGAGCCCACCACTTGACTACCCTTTACCGAGGACGGGATCGGGGCATCCGAATTGCAAATTCAGCGCTCCAACCGCTCGCCCACGCTGCCACGCTTTAATGAAAGTATTTCCTAGTAGTGTAATTTGTTAAGTTGTACAGGTGGATAAGCTCATTTATTAGGGAAGTCGACTTTTCTACTTACAATTTCCCTCTCTTTAACGTCTTCTTGGTTATCAGCACCCTCCTTTTCTCGCTTTCGTAGTCTCTCCAGTCTGGAAATGGTGCTTTCCCGAAACTTAAGGATCATTTTCGTTGACTGTGAAGATTAAAAAATATATATCCATGTTACACAGGAAGAAAAAAGACCAAGCAAAAAAACTGATTAAATTTTGTTATAGCTCTGCTTTCATGTCTCTTTCATCATTTTTTGTTATTTTATCAACAGTAACAAAGTCCACTCTCTCTTGACGGACACATCAAAAATACGGACCCCTCACTAAAACGGACACCTTAAGTTGGTCCCTGTCTATCTTTACTCCTTTTAGTTAACTCTCAATAAGACGGACACATAATGCCAGTAAAAAAGGTGTCCGTCCTAAAAACAGTTGACTGTACACAGACTGTGGATGTTCATGGTGTAGCGGAAACTGTTGTCAATTAAGTTTTGTGTTCTAGTAGGCTGTTTATGATTCAGTCTTTTCAATCTTTTGTATTACACCTTCTTCGACATCAAGAAACTAACCAGACTGACGAAAAAAAAGGTTTAATTCATTATCGTTGGTTAGGGATACCCTTAAAATGAATCCCTGCTCGGTTGTGCGATCTACCGCATTTTTCACAGATACTTTTTTTGAGGAGGGGGGGGGATGGGAAGGGGGAGTGGAAGCCATGTGAATAAACAAATAAATGACGCTGAACTAAAAGTTGTACACGAACCTGTAAGAACTTCTCCTTTTTACTGCACAGTTCTTCTAGCTTTTCAATTTTTTCAGTCAAACACTGTGGAAAAGAAAGTTTACATAATATACAATAATGTAGTTAACTCCCCAAGCCGTGCTAAATATCATCATGCTATTCTCGGCTTCCCACTGCTCAAGGTGTTTCTTTGCAGTAAGTGGTACTAATGGCATTTTGACTAAAAATCAAGATGTTTCGTTATCGAAGATTCATTTGGTTCAATTCACTTGACCTGCCCGGGAAGTTTTGTTAAGCATTGCACTGATGTCATGAAAAGGAATAAGATCTGGTTGTAGCGAGTGTACACTAAGGAAGCATTGGTACTTGGACAGTTGAACAATCAAATTTGGATTCGTTTTGAGCGCAAGCCCTTCGTCAGAGTGAATGAATGAAGAAAGCCTCACACTCAAACGTCAGCTTTCGAATCTTTTAACAGGAATAAACTGACATTTAACAACTCCGTTAATAAAAACATTTTTTTTATTTTACTCTCTCCGCCAATGCAGCACCACACTGTCTTAAGAAAAACCAACCATTCGTCTAAAGTTTCAAATGTTGCGCGTTTTAAAACATTAATTGAGGATATCCGTTATCTTCTGATTCATGAATAGAATCAAATGTGGACAATGAAAATAGTGGAGAAAGGCTAAAAACTCAACACGATAAATAGTTATAGAGCGGGTAGTCAAGCCTGTTTGACCAGTTTTGTTTTTACCTGTTTTTCTTCTTCAGCCCTTTCTCTGGCGCCAGTAGCAGCCAGCATCATTTCTTTCCATTCACGGTACTGCTGATTGAAGTCTATTCCTGAATTGTTATTGTTGTTATTGGTATCGTTGGTGCTGTCAGGCGGGGCGGCACAAACCTCACCACGGGCTGCTGAAATCTTGCGGGCTACTTCAGTTGATTCTACGACAAATGTTTCGCATTCAGAAGTTGGATTAAAACCATCATACAAAAAAAGGATGTAACTTCTGGCATAAAACGCAACGTAGGTGCTTGAAATAGAGAGCATATGACAAAAAACGGCTGCACCCTCTTAGTTCTACTTGGTGTTCTTTAGGTTTCGAGCGCCTGCTTTGTAGGCTGATACAGATTTCCACTGTCACGTTGTGTGAAAGATCGCGCGTAAACAGGCTCAGATTTTTACGTTACGTCTGGCACTTGTGTACACTCCTAAACGTTTCACGCTTCGCTTACTTGGCACGTACATTTTCTTGGACCGGATAGTTTGGCGCTAATCCTGAGTTGACTGCAAACATACATGTAGCATACGAGTTGCCATGGAAACTGAACCCGGATGATGATGATGATGATGATGATGATGATGATGATGATAGCAGTGCATTGTGCGCATATTTATCATAGTTTCTAACAACGCATGTCCACTCTGTCATCTCTTTGAGGCTAAATATTTCTTAAATGTCATATTGCTACTTTCTTCTTCGCTTTCTATTAAAAACTAACCTTGTCTGGTGATCTGTCTTGGAATGCCAGCTACAATCAAACACGGAATAGGACGACATTAGTGACAGTGATTGGACTCAAAGTATTACTAATTTGAGTCTGCATAGCCTGCTCCAAGTACATTTTGTCTTTGTGACCTATTGTCTTTTGTCTTCTCTCACCGTGCGCTCCCCGTCAATGGGACGAAGAGCGATGAGAAGCGGTTATATTCGCAGGTTAGCAGTAATGGCGCCAAACTCGACCTCAGAAACCAGAAGACCCGATTCCAAGTCAGTTGTAAGGCCGGCTGCCACAGTCAGTGTGGGTGTGTGTATGTGAAATGTACTGGTCAGATGTTTGTGCGGCACTGTGGGCCTCTTACTGTATTTTGTTTTCCGTGGTTTCACGCTCTAAGGCTAAATGAAAAAATTAAATTCAGTTAAATTTGTTTTTCCTTTTCTTGTCGAGTGCTTGACGATCAACCATGTACAGTGTAGCAAAGTGCCCGTCCTCAATAAAGCACATTCATTAACGGTCGTTGTAAGCGGAGGTTCCAATGTACTTTTCAGGGGCGGATCCAGGATTTTTTTTAGGAGGGGGTGCACTCGTCTCTTGCTCTTCTTCAACACCAGTAAACGACATAGTTTTTTGCAGAATACCAGTTGTATTAGAAAACCGCAGGTCATCTCAGGGGGGAGGGGTGCGCACCCCTGCACCCTCCCCCCTAGATCCGCCCCTGCTTTTCCACCTTCCAGCACGGCAAGAGTGAAGTTTCCATTAAAAGTTGCATAGTTTAGTAGAGGATAATTGTAATAACCTTGACCCTCATAGTGATGGCGACACTTCCCTTGTTGACACTGCATTATTCACCAAAAGCTACTAATACAAAGTCTCACCTCTAGCTTTCTCCAACTCTTCCCTTAGTCTTTTAATCTCAGCCTGGAGAGCCGTAACACTTCCAGTCGCGTCTTCATTAACTACAGCCTAATAATAAAAAACATTTATCAAGTTTAATACCGTTGTTGAAATATGAAAAAACATGATTCATAACCTGCGCGAAAGCTGTTAATTTCAAGAGGCGAGCTTAGAAAACCGCGAGCCGAGAGGGAACGCACCCCTCGCTCTTGCGTCTCCAATCGCGTGCGGCTCTCGCAAGACTTCCCATCATATCTCCTTAGAAATGGAGAGCTTACTTGCAGGCTAAACCATTCAAAGATATAAAACACGTGTTGGGTACCTTGTTCTTAATCATCTTTGCTCTTTTTGCGAAGTTCAGCGTGGACAGTGTTTCGCCGAAGCACCTGAAATAAGTACATGATCATTTCACAAAAATCTTCTAAAATTGAATCAAGCACCGTGGATGAGAACTACCATTTGCCACCAAAGTGAATAGCTCCCGCGTGTAAATGTATTACTAGCCCATGAACAGGTTCTCCAGCTCCAGCGGCGAAGCGGGGGTTGGTTGTTTTGAGGTCGTGCTTGAGATTGGGTGGGCGTTGTGTCGAATTTCATTATAGGGGATTTTTATAGGGGTGTTCGGGGTGGCATTTTGACCCAGTTCCCCGTGCGCAACGTCGTAATGGCCAATGAAAAAAGTGATAGCATCTCCAAAACATTCCCATCGTACAATTCAACACAGCACCGATCCAGTCTCACGCACCAACAGGGCAAAGAGAAGGCAAGATCGACAATAATGCGAACAGGAAGGGCGTAGGGAGTAAAAAAGAAAGGAGGGGGAGCATTCTCCCTTCTTTCCACGTCATGCCTTTACTTTACAGGGGCACAGGTAATGTCTTGGTAATGTATCGCGTTTATCTCCTCCAGCTACATTCAGCTGCATCCTAAATTTTGCAACCTTCTGGGTTGCACAGTGGCAGTATTTAAGAGCCATTAGCCAACCCAAGCCCATGCATATCTGTTATAAAGGACTACTTTATATTTGCATTAACTCTTTTTGTAACACCACAGCTATTACACTTACTTTGCAGAGGGATGTACGTTAGCGATAAGATACGTTTTGGCATTTCCACCTAAAGAGTCCTGTCAAAGAAGAGTGCACAAAAAAGTTATCTGATCTGATTTCCAAGTACGTCTTCATAATTTTGTGACCTTTGCACTTCTTGTCATTAGTGTACAATGACTTCAAATTGATACAGTATAAATGAAACAACAAGCCTGTACACAGACCCTCTATTTTCTCTTTAGGGATCTCGAGGGCGCGTATAAAAGTAAA